TATTCAAAAAGGCTCATTTTGTTGAATGCCTTTGACTTGAAAATGTTAAAAATGTATACTGTACTGTCAATTCTCACTCCTTGCAATAGCCAAGAGTATGCTACACTACACCAGCAACCATTACACCTCACACTCCTGCACCAGTGTCTAATTCATGAATCTGCTTGAAGCTAATGACTTTAGAAGGTGTTTGACAGTGGTGTTGAATCAATTAGGGAGCTTAAGCAACGACAATGCCGACACCGAGGATGACACCTAGTAAAAAATGAATTTATATTTTACAAGCAAAATTCGCGATTGCCTAGATCTGTTCGGTACACCAATGGCTCTAAAAACATGCTTATGCTATACATCCAACGACGGCGTTCAATTACAAATGGAAATACGAAAAATTAGCTGTTGTCATCCACGTTCCGCAGACGACGCAGAACTTGGTCATTTCACTTTGTTGTTCTGCAGAGGACAGCAAAGAAATGTACAATGATTTAAAATGCACGGGCACAGGTATTGTTTTGCTCATTAAACCTTTTGTTTTGTAATGTTCTCGTTGCTGTCGTCGGCGTGGTTTGCTTAAGTTCCCTAAATGCTTAACAGGGCAGCAGTCTAGACCAAGTGTACTTGGCCAAACATAATGTTCTTTCCATTTTGGACTACTAGGAACTGATCAGTTGACTCAACACCCTTTCATAGTTCATTTTGGAAGTTCAGTGGCTTAAAGTCACTTTGATATCACAGAGAATGTCCAGTTGTTATGACATGGCATGTGAGCTTGGTACATGTACAGTGTAGGTGGCCTTTTCGTTAGAGTAAGCATCTAATTTTCACCATCTCTTATGAAAGAATCATGCAAATAGGCCAGCGGAATGACCTACCAGATCATGAAGCATATCTTTTCTTTGAAAATTGTTGCCTCTTGTGTCTGTGTTACATGTCTGTGTATATTTTTTTCACATCAAATGGAGGTTATTTTTAGACACTTGGGTACATATATATAATTATATATTGTCAATCAAAAAATTCAGAACCATTGTCGAGGGCTCTTGGTACCAGAACACACAAGTTGCTCACTGTAATAAGAGCTCTATATTACTGCTTCAATAATTTGTTTTCAACACTTAATTATTTTGAATCATTTATTTCCAATAAATGATATATGTTTGTTTTACTAGGCTTTTCCTTCATTGATCGACTGAAGACAGAAAAGATTATCATAGAGCTAAACGGCACCACCAACTACTCAATCAGCTGTCGCACAACAGATCCAAATGCCAATACAACATTGCTTCGTGGAAGCCAGGAGATACTCGTTGGAGGCAGAGTTACACTTGATAAGCAAGTCTTTACTATTCATGGTATCTCGTTAAGTGATCGTGGAGTTTACAAGTGTGAGGCCAGGGATAGCTTGGGCACTGTTGAAAAACATGATGCTGTTATCATATATGAAATTGTGAAAGGTACTAAGTTTATTGATACAGTTATGACTCAGAACCTTTACTTGTAGGCTTAAAATTTTCTCCTACATGTAGGTTTAGAAATTTAAAGCAGAGGTAACATTTGAACCATAACATATGTACAAACATGTGGAACCTGTACATGAATATAACACCTGTATGTTGGGTGGTGTAATGTACACTGTACTGTCAGGGGTTTCATTAAGCGCTAGGCACTGGTCAGGAGCAAAGTGACTCATTTGACCACACTTTGTACATGTATATCTGGAGGAAAAAACTCGTCCTTATTAAATAATGGAAAATTTTCAGTTCAAAAAGTTTTTCCGGCCTGTTAAAACCAGTTGCCCTCCTAGTGAAAAATTAATGTTAAAATGAAACCCCTGCACTGTAGTACTGTGAATGTACATGTAGACCTACAGAAATTTATCAATGTATCAAGGTTGTAGGTCCTAATGTAATGTAAAAATGTAAATCTTATTTATAGTGGTCATGCACTTAGCTATACAAGCAGTAAGCTTAGCTAGTTTACAGGCATGCCCTGAAACAAACATTTCAAATAAACTTGACATAAACTTAACATAGTTAAAAATCCCAATGGGCAGGAGGCAGACCAGTTTGCTATTTACAAAGCGTGACCGTGGATTTGAACTCGGGACTACCGAGAAATGAATCCCAATTGTAACAGGGTGGAGGCCTTGAACCTGGGACCTCCAGATTACAACACCAGCGCCCTAAACCACTTGGCCATGCTGCCTTCGCAAAGCCTCCATGCTGCCTCCACGCTGCCTCTTTGGAAGAAAATCAAGTCCACTTCTCCATAAACCCACCCTGCATTCTAATGGCCAATGGTGGTGAGTCATGCCTGGTACTTTGTTCTGCGTGACTGTACATGTAGTACCCTAATGAAAAACTACAGCGGCTGTAAATGCTGCAAAATTATTAGCAAACTTAACTTGTTTTCAGTTAGTCAGTCAGTCAGTTGTGCAGTGTGTGCATTATTGTTTCTACATGTATATCATCTTCGCTTTTTCTTTAGAGGTCATACCATGCTGTCCAAAAGTGTCGCCAAGGAAAAAAGTTGTGGTTGCCGGTGCAAGTCTCAATTTCACTTGTGTAGTTGATCACATGTCAAAGAGTCTTCCAAAGTACCTGTCATTCAAGTGGTTTAAGAATGTAAATGGCACTTATCTGAAAATTCCTGACGAACAAACGCACCGAAAGAATGGTAGCACTTCAGTACTGATGATTAAAAATGCACAAACTACATTGCCAAATGGCATCTTGTACAAGTGTCAGACGGATTACAGGGAAACGATACGCAGTCACTATTCACGTTTGGTAGTATTTAGTGGTTAGTTTTACCTCCATGATTATTAAATCACGACACCCCATTGAATCTATATGTATGAGCACCCCAATCTTAATTAAACTCATCACCAAAAGATGAGTTTGGGAACTGGTGCCTTGTACGATGTAGGTCAGCAGGGTGCCTGAACACTTTAGGCACAGCAGGGAGGTATCCATGGCAACCCTGCAAGTCAGATTTCACAGGTGTTACAATGTTGGACATTGTTCACTAAGCTGTCTCTGGGTTTTATAATAATTTCTTATGCCAAGCGGAGAAATTGATAAAAGTTAACTAGTAAAAAGACATTTTAGTTTAATTTGGCAATCTTGTGGATTCTTGGCTTTTCCATTTATGATGGCTAATATCCACTAACAAGACCTACATGTAGACACACCACCACCTACAGTGGTTGATAATCCTCATTTAATTTTATTTCCTTTAATTTGCTTTTTTTTTTATTACTCCATAGGTTTTAGAAAACCATCAATCACCTATTTAAGCCAATCTGTTGTTGTTAATGAGCCAAGTATGATGAAAGAGAGATGTGAAGCCAGTGGTTTCCCTGTTCCCAAAATTACATGGCTACAAAACGGAAAGCAGATGCCACTGTGTGTGAACGATGGAAGTAATAGATGTACTGGACAAAATTATCAAGTAATAGAATCAAGCAGTGACGAGCATGCTTTCTCTCAAAGTGCTCTTAGTATTGAGCCCACAATGTATCCAAGGGACCAGGGAAACTACACATGCTTGGCAAGTAGCAGCGAAGGAAGTGTCAATATGACCATGGACGTTTTTGTCCACAGTAAGTACAATGCACGGTTATTAATTTTATGTGGTATGGTGCACTTACAATGTAATACCCATTACCTGTACATGTATGCATGCTACCTACGTGTACCAACTCTCACGTCTTACAATAGGGAAGAGTATCATACATGTACATGTGCACTAAACCTGCAAGTCAAAAACTTTGATCATATGGAGGCTCACACTTCTGCTAAGTACCAATTTCTTATTCATGAATCTGTTTCCAAGACACTTGTCAAACTGGTGGTGTTATTACACTGCTTAACAGGGCAACAGACTAACTGTACTTGACCAAACAAAAATAATGTTCTGCTTTCCATTTTGAACTACATTACAGTGCAAGGACAAACTCCAAATGATCTCTGTTACACCCACACTATTTATAATTGAACAATGATCAAGTGATACTTTCTACAAACGTTTTTCCAAAGACTGTTCATTTGGATTAATGGCAAGAAGAGACTAATTGCCCCAGGGTGTACCAGTGGATTAAAATGAACTTTGATGAGTCACCTTAACACTCTCTCTTAATTCATTATCTGAACAGTGTCCATTTGCTACAGTGTGGCATGTAAATTGGCATGTCAGTCAAGTGTCTCCAAAATTATGTGCTTGCATGTATGTATGAGTCTGTATTGTATTTCTTCCCTACCGATGGAAGTCCTTGTGTATACTGTAGGGTTTTAAAACAGTTAGAAACTCAAGGCACTTTTAACCAGGAAGAATAATCTGCAAAACTATTCATTTGATAATTGTTATTTTATAATATAACCAATATTAAATATTGATTGATTTTTATTTGGCCAACAGCTCTGCCTATTTTGGATAAGGTCAGATCTTTTTGGATAATAAATGAAATTTCTTGCCAAGTGAACAGATCCAATCCATTACCAAAAATCTCCTGGCAACGTCAGAATGGCTTGTGTTTGATCCACAACCCCAAATGCATGCCAGACAGTGGCAGTTGGCAAGACATCTCTAGTAGTGCAAACTTTGTTATCACTCCTGGTATTGATATTGCAACACTCAAGAGCACTCTTAAAATACCTAAAGATGCCCAGTCAGCATTTTTCAGATGCGAAGCAAGGAATGTAAGAGGAGTTGATTTTCACGTGATGAGTTTCTTCTCAAGCGGTGAGTTGACAGTGTAGTATTATTATCTACTTATTAACCGAGAGTGAGGTCTTTATGGGAAAATCTCAAACCAAGACCTTGCTGTATTGACAGAGTGATAATGGGTTCTTTACGGTAAGGTGAATTGGGAACAATTAAAACAAANGTCCGTTTTGGGAATTTGAAAATATACACATCTAGACAACTTCCCTCAGATTTAGTTCGTCATATTTCGTTGCTCTACAATCCCCTGTTAGCACGGGGAATTCTCCTCTGTTAGTCTTCTTGGCTAATGAATAAAGTTTTTGTTATTACAGAGGATCACCATTGCTTAGATTAACATTCTTTCATTATTCCCTTCTTTCAGGAGTTTTTCCACCAAGCATACTGTACTTTCACGACCAGAGAGTATATAATCAAGATGCTGTAGATTTGTTCTGTAACATCTCGGCTCATCCAGCTCCAACTGTACAATGGTATAAAGGCAATTCCTCCCTGGAAGGCAAAATTGAAGAGCTGGATAGATGGGTGTCCTGTGACCGTCTGGTGCAAGCTTTCTATCGTGTTAAAGGTGATGTTGGTAAACTCCGTATTTGTGATCCTCAGAATGCTCTTCATACCGGCTTTTACACCTGCGTTGCTGTCAATAGGAGAGGAGAGAGTAATGCCACTGCCTTTCTGGATGTTCTGGGTAAGATTGCTTTTCAATTGTTTTTCCAGTTTGTCTGTCCGTAAATTTTGGCCATCTGACTGTCTTTCCATTTGTTCGTCGGTATGTGGACTGTCCGTCTGTATGTCTGGCTGCCAGTATGTTTCTGTCTTTCTGTCTGTCTGTCTGCCTGACTGACTGACTGACGAACAAACGGATGGACAGACTGACGGACTGACGGACGGACCGACTGACTGACTGACTGACTGACTGACTGACTGTAAGTACATGCCTGCCGGCCTGTCTGCTTGTTTGTCTGGCTGTCTATCTCTGTCTATCTGCCTGCCTAACTCTCTCTGTCGTTCCGTCCGTCTGTCTCTCCTTCTGTTAATGGGACGTCATCTTGAAACATTAGATAATTCTTAGACTTCGAGGAATCCCTCTTTCACTTAGCCCGTCGAGCGTGACCATAAGATTTGATAATAAACTCCAAGTGAAAAATGGCCGTGCGAAATCTTGGGGGTGAGAAGCCCTTCTTGCCCCCAGGATTTGGCGCGGCCATTTGCGTCACGCAAGTTATAATGACGTATTTTCCTGACGGAAAATGAAGGTTCGTTTCTTTTGTTTCCAACAATATTTAGCGGATCCTGTGATTTTCAGCCCAAAAATGGACTCTCAAACTCAGTCCGTTAAGCTTGGACAATCCTGGAACATAAGTTGTCAGGCCGGAGGAAATCCAACACCAACAGTGGAATGGAAGAGAAAGAATGGAAACAAATCGATGACCCGTAGAGAGCGCGGTAAAAGCGGTGTTGTCTTGTCTATTGATTCTGTGGTTGAGGACGACCTGGGAATCTATTTTTGTGTGGCAGCTAATTCAAAGAATGTGGCGTATGCGTATGTGGAACTAGGTAAGATAGTCGGTCATTGTAGAATCTGGTACCCGCGTGATCCCTGCATCATGGGCGACAAACAAGGGTGATGCTTACAATATTAATAACAAAAAAATATCTTTAACCAGGAAGCAACCTCACCCTCAGGTGGCTGTCAGGCTGGTCCTGAGTACAAATAAAAAAGAAAATAAACACAAAATACAAAATAAACAAACTGTGTAATGGGTACAAGTAAAACTTGTAGAACAGTAGCTAAAAATCGTTAGGTGTAAAAAATTTTTAAAATGTCTACAAGTACAAGAAAATCCTAAGATCTAGTTAATTGCTATCCCTAACTCTAGGCCAAAAACCAAGCGTAACTCAAAAACTAACCCTAATTAAGGTGGCTCAAAACAGTTTCCAACACTTAGATTTTGATGGGTCGTTATAACCACTCTTTATCACTTGATGCTAAAATCATGGTATCAAAAAACTGCCCAATCATTGATGAACACATTTTTATCATTTTCGTGACGCATTAGATTACCATAGCAACAGTATGACCTCCTAAAATTACCCTTAATTATAGCTTTAGGGGCTTATAATTCAAAAACGGCACGGTGAATTTTTTTTTATGTTATCACCTTTTCATAAGCATGACGCAACTTTTGGCAAAGTTTAAAAAAATTCTGTAGGTAAGGTTAAGAGCCACCTTAAATTTTCGAAAATGTAATTTTCTGGGGCATGCACATTTTTTCTCACATTTAGTTTCTGCATGATTTTTTTTTTTTCGTGGGCAGTAACTTGTGCAATAACTTTTTTAACTTCAAAAATTGGACCGCGATATTTGAAAGCACGTGCTCGATTTTTTCCCACAGTTCCCCTTGCACTATTTTTTTTTTAGCGCCACCACCACCACCACCACCACCACCATTCGCAAAAAATAATGGTCCGTCCCTAATTCTAATAACATCAAAAAGCAAGAAGAATTGTTCTCCTTTCTTTCAGTGTCAGGTGCTTTACCATCTGAGCCACCTCCACAAGGTCTAAAACCAGAGATCGTCATTGGTGTGGTCGGAGGTGTTCTGTTTATTTTTATCATTTTTGGTGTTGTCTGTGGCGTCTTCTTTCATCTTCAGCGAAAGCAAATTAAAGAATACCGCAGTCAGTTTTTCCCGTACGTTAATGAGCGACTTCAGGTAATGTGTGATTTTCCATCGTCTAAAGGCAAATAGAAACTGGAAAACGTTTCATGTCACGTCACGTCAGTGATGTCTTGTCATCATTTTGGAGACCCTCACTAAAACGTCCGTACCCGCAACCCAGATGTAAGCTTCCTTCATTTTTTTTTTAGGTGCTGCTATCGAATGGTTATAGTAAGAGATCAACCAGTCAGAAACACAGTTGTATTTGTGAAAATCTTAGTCCAAGAACATAATAAAGCACAAAAAGTAGTAAACACCAGCCCTTAGCTACCTCCTCCTTGTGACAAGGCCCTGCATGACAGAACTCTGGCGACAGTCAGGCGACTCTGGGGATAAGAAAATATCGTTTAAGGGCTATAGGTGTTGTAATAGCTGTTATTGCAGTTGTAAGCGGTTTGACACACAAACGAGGCGAAAGGGTCAATTCTGTATCGTATTGACCCTTTCGCCTCGTTTGCGCGCCTTTTGAAACAAAAGAATATTTGACCGCAGAGTCAACTGCAATAGCAGCTGTTGAACGGTATTAGTTAAGATCAGTAATAATGCCATGAAAAACTGAGTGTAACTTGGGGCCTTTCAAGAGAGCTTTCAGACGTGGTTTTAATCAGCAACTGCCAACTCAGACTGGAGTAACGGTCAGCAGAAAACCACTTCATGGTGTTTTAAATACTTAACGTGTCAAATTAACATTTAGATTATGATTATGAAATCGAGAGCGAATAATCTAATTGTTTTAGTAGAATTCTTACTAAAATTTACTTCAAATAACAGTGTCCGATTATTTCTTGACGTATTATTAAACTGTGCGCCTGAGAAAGATTGCTCGGATTGAATTTTCATTTAAAATTGAAGTTGTGTGCGCGCGTGCATCAGTTTTTTCAATAATTTCAACTTTTTAAAAGTCAAGAAACCGTGAATATCCTTCGTGTAGACTTCTCAGGAATTTAATTATCCATTTGCATCAAAATTTTCCTCCAAAACTTTGGAAAAACGAAAAAAACGTCGCCATTTCCTAGACGACCTCCAGCCACTGCGCACAAATAGCTGATAGTGTGCAATGGCTCAGCCAATCAGATTACAGCATTTGCATTAGTATAGTAGTAGAATTCTACTAAATAATGGTAGACGAAAGGAGTTTGCATGCCTTGTATTGTTGCCATGTATATTACGATCACTCAGCCAATCAGATTGCAGCATTTGCATTAGTGTACTAGTAGAATTCTACTAACAAGTTTAAATGCTGTCGTTTTCAGGTTGATCCCAGTCGCACACTCCATGAACAGTGTGATAATCTAGCGTACGACCCAGATTGGGAATTCCCAGAGGAGAGGCTGATTCTTGGGGAGGTGCTGGGGTCCGGAGCCTTCGGGCAGGTCATCAAAGCAGAGGCTGTTGGGATAACGGACTTTCATCCTCGCGATAAAAGCGCCGAGAAAGTGCGGCGACGCTCCAAAATGCTTCGCCGATCCAGCAGTAGCAGAATGTACCAGGATTCTAAAGGACTACCTTATATGAAGACTACTGTAGCTGTGAAGACACTCAAAGGTATATTCTTGAAGTCTTGTAGATGCGCCTTCACTGTTCATTTTACTATTTTTGGGGGTGTAAGATGCTCTCCGGCTAGCCTTGAAATTTCATGGGGGGGGGGGGGGGGNGGGGGGGGGGGGGATGACGAAGGAGGCGTGTGACACGGAGATATCTGCGGTGGATTTCAGTTCTCTCCTAGCACTGTACTTGTTGACTCTGTTTGTGGTTTGCCGGAGATTAAGCCATGCGAGGCCAGAGCTACAAATATCGCCACAGACCTTCATGTACACAGTAATAACCAGTCCAACTGAAAATGTTTCTCGTTTTAAGGCCATTTTGTAGAGAAATCATTAACCCTGGGAGTAGTTTCAAATCGTTACATCTGGCGTTTCAATATTTAAGGGAGGGAGCACCCATAACGCAACAGCAATTTCCAAGAAATGTGTTTTCTTTTCTTGGCTCATATCGTTCACAGAAGTTTTCAATTTACAGCCTTTGTTATTGATAAATTAAACCTTAGAGCCTGTTCCTTCATCTTTTTTCCCCACGTAGAAGTTAAAAAGTAACAACGACATCAGTAATTATCGGCTAGAGATTTGACTTTTACAAATTAAACCCAAAACTATCCTGAAGAAATTAACCGATACGTATGAGATTCATTGGAAGAATTTTTAACCATCTTCTACATGTGTTACATTCTTGGCAATTTAGCGGGAGCCACGATAGCAGAGTACAAAGACCTTGCTTCAGAGTTGAAGATCCTGATCCACGTTGGAGAACACAAGAATATTGTGAACCTCCTGGGAGCTTGTACAAAGGGAGATCGACTGCTTATTATCATGGAATTTGCGCCGCATGGAAACCTCTCGAAGTTTTTGCGAGGAAAACGAGATATTTACGAGCCGACTTGGGGAACTTCGACAAACAACCCCGATGTTGAACTTACCATCAGCAACTTGGTAGTTTACGCCTATCAGATTGCTCGTGGGATGGAGTTTTTGGCATCTAAGAAGGTACGGGTCAGCCGAAAGTGTCATGATTTATGTACATGTAATAAAAAACAAGGAACTCTCCTTCTTTCATTCATGTTCTTTTCATTCTCGTCAGGCTGTTTTGATGTGGCTCGACGTTTTGTCAATTCTTGTCGGACTCAGCAGTGTCCTCTTACGAACAAACACTGTTTAGCTTTAAGGTCGGCACCAACTAGGGACATGCTCAGGGGACATGAAGCGGAGACTTTTTTGGGGGGAAGGGGGTGGGTGGGTCTTGTAACATGCCCACTTTTGCGAACAAGTTCTGTTGCGGTACATGCTGTACGAAATTCTGCCGGTTTGAATTCGTGTGCCATGAAGCAAGGACAAAATGACGTCTAATTTCAATGCCGCATTGTGTGCGCTACTCTTGCAAACTGTCCCCGCTTCAACATAGAAACGAACCAATATCTGCTTCGTGTGCACCAGCTTATCTACTGTCCCTATGTAGGCATAAAGGGGCTGTTTTCCTGCCTCACGTCCGCGCAACATGTGCCGTAGTGGGCGCCTACCTTTATTCTCACACGAGAGCAGGTGACCTGGGAGGTGTTAGAATCACGCAATCCAATTGTTCGTGCGTGACAAAACAAGGGGAATTCATCGAATTACTTGTCGCTTTGTTTGAGAACACTGAATCACGTTTTGATCTCTCTGTTTTCTTTGTTTTTATGTAAACAGTGTATTCACAGAGACCTGGCGACCAGGAACGTCCTTGTTGGAGAGGAATATGCCATAAAGGTCGCCGACTTTGGTCTCGCTAGAGACGTTTACAAGAGCGACATGTACGTGAAGGCAACAAATGCCGGTGTGCTACCTGTCAAGTGGATGGCATTAGAATCTTTGTTTGACAGGGTTTACACAGAAAAAAGCGATGTGTAAGTTTTTTTTTTCTTTTTACGTAAAGGCCACTGATACTAGATAAATGCAGACAGTTCTAACGAAATAGGGAGCTTTTTTTTGGCGAGAATGAACAAAGGTTTGCTTTAGACGAAATATAGCCGAATTTCGAAAGTCTTGTCTTCAGTGCTGCGAAAATTTACTCTGCCTTGCGAAACTCTCGGACGAACATTCGCCAGACTTGACGAAATCTCGTGCGAAATTTTGCGTTGAAGTCTACAGAAAATTCGATTTAAACTTCAAGCAAAGTTTCACTTCGCTTTAAGTCTCACTTGCTCGAAATTTCGCTCGCCTAAGCGTTAAAATCAAATGCTCTCGCCTTTCATTGACGGGAATAGTTAGGCAAGTTCTCTTGATGCAACAGAAAAAGTCACCGTACAAAATTTCTCACTGTTGCGATTCTACTCGCTCTCACCCTCTGAGAGGAGAAAGTGAGAACGAGCGACCTCGTACCCTACTGATTCGCACCGTAAGCATGATCTTAGAAGTTTTAAAACATACAGTCCTGAAACATGCTAAGACCTTAGAAAACCAAAATTGTATTAAACCAGCAATGTACATTAATGGAGAGTGTTGTTTGTGCAACAGTTATAAATTTTGTTACAGTCACATTTATTTTGGAGTTTTATTTTCGTCCATGGCGGAGTTATTCTCAAGGGGCTAAATTATGCCATTTTATTTGGAAATAACAAGAACTTCTTGCTGCCACTGAAATGTTAGATCCAGTCACACGAGAGTGACTCAAGTCTATGATTGAGGAGTTATTTTCTGTTATTTACAGCCACTCGTCCACCGTCGCCGCTTTTTCCCTTTTTCCCGTTTTTTTTTTTCCTACACCCTTACCCCAGCCCGAACTGAGTCTTCAACTGCAAAGCAGAGACATTATTTCAGTATCGTGCAGTGGAAGCATATATTGAACCGGCGAGCGCGTTTCTTGAGCATGCGTCGGACTCAGGGAGTAGAGGAGAGGCTGAAGGACGAGTAAGGGTAGAGGGGTGGGGTGGAAAAATTACATAGTGCAACTCCCATATGGCGGCAAAGTACGCGAACAAAATTATTCAACGATTACCCCGCGCAAACGGCTGCAGGCTACACTGTAAGAACTTAAACAGGTGGTCTTATTTGGGACCTATCTTTGTCAAAACTACCTGACACACGGTGAAATTATGTTGCGTTCAATCTTTCAGTTGGTCGTTTGGTGTTTGCTTGTGGGAGATCTTTACGCTGGGCGGTGCTCCATACCCTGGCTTACCCACAGAACAGCTACTGGACTTCCTAAGTGAAGGCCATCGCATGGAACAGCCTCATAAATGCCCTCTCGACATGTACACTATTATGCGGGACTGCTGGGAACAGAATCCCGATATACGACCTACATTTGCGCAGCTCAGTGAACGAATTGGCAGGATAATTGAATTACACGCGTCTAAGGTAATGATTGGCCGAGACACCGAGCAACAGGCCAAGCACTAAGGCCTAGTTTATATGTCGTATTTCAGACGCGTGTATTGTTTTGAATCAGCGGAGTGCCGGGACAAATGGCAAAGTAGAGCATCTCGTTCCTTCCGTGTTTCATGGCGCAGTAGTGACGAGATTTCATTCGACGCGGCTTCTATATGACATATAAATGGAGTCTAATTTGTGGCAACAGAACTTGAGGTTTATATGACTTATGCAATCTGTTTTAGTCATTCTGTATTTAGGCCTTGTTATCATTAGCTTCCCCCCAAGATTTATTTACTCCAAGCACGTTTGAACGAATAGAAGCTTAAGAGATAGAGAAGATTTTGTAGAGAGGGGGAAATAAAGTTTTTTGTTACTTTTTTATTATTTTTTTTTACGGTACTTCGATCAATAAAGCGTTTTATAAAGGGATCGTTCTTGAACACAAGTACTAGTAATAATATTTCTCATAGAACTCGAGAATACTTTATGTGCATTTTTGCCCAGATTGCTACGGTGAAAAAAAAATGCACCACCAGCACCACAATCCGTCATTAAGTGTTTTGTTTATGAAGGAAAATCGTGGAGGAAAGGAGGGACTTGCAAGGTTATAGGGAGAGTTACATGCGAAGCAGTAGAACTAAATAGACGATTTCTTGTGTTTAGTTAATTTTCTCTAGTATTTCAACTCGCAAGGCTCGATACGATGGCCTCACGGTTATTGCGCTTGACTCCGAAGTGAGCGGTCCGGGTTCGAGCCTTGGCCAGGGAACTTGTGTTCTTGGGCAAGACACTTTACTTTTACAGTGCATATCTCCACCCACGTGTATGAATGGGTACGAGCAAATTTAATGAGGGGGTGGGGGGAGTAACCCTTAGATGGACTAACATCCCATTCAGGGGGGAGTGGAAATACCCCTAGTCGCAACTGAAACCGGGATAAGCTCCGGTCTGGTGAGCCACTTGGCTCGTATGCAGACTTTACCTTACTATTTCAACTCTTGCGGTGAATTGTCCTACATATAACATTGGTTAATCAAAAATCGTTCACTTAGGAAGTGAATTTGATCCATCTCTTATAAATATATTTTTTTCTTCTACAGCAAACTTCATCGGCTTACGTCACATTCCCAGAAGATAGAAATACTCCAAGGCATGCCTACTACTTGGATCCAGTCGACTCAGCCGGATCCGCGCTGCCGCTAACAGGCTATGCTGGTATAAACAGGTTAGTGTTGCAGCCTGATTACTCCAGCAATGGCTTCATTTTATAGAAATGTGGAGCTAACACTCTAATTGTTAATTGAAAAACGCGATTTGTTTGCTTCAGACAATTGAGTGAGGATATCGGGAACAGTCCCCTCCCTGCGTTACCGCGTGACGCAAAAGCAGAGCAGGACATGGAACCGCACGAACGACAAAGAATGCTGGGACCTACAGCCAATGGAAGCCTGTCCGGCAACGAGAGTGGAATAGGACTTGAGGAAGGTTACGAGGACGCGCCTGCTGTAACGGAACTCAGACCACTACGGGGTGTCTCGAGATTCGCGCCCAGCCTGACAGGGAAAGCAAAGATAACTTCGAAATCTAAAGAGTCTGTTGTGTGAGATAAAATGCGAATTTCGTCAATTTTCTGTGACAGTACTTAGATTGATGCTTCTTATAACACTGTACATAAGCGTAGTACTTGAGCATGATACAAGTTTTGGTCTGTTATAGAACTTGTGGACGACTAGGTTCACGTAGCTGGCGACCATAAAATCATAAGACCATAAGATCTTTCGTGATATCCAGAATTATTAAGGACGAGGTAAGTGTTATCAGCTCAAGCCGAAGGCTGAGTTCTGATAGCACTTACCAAGACCTGAATAACTCTGAGTATCACGAAGCGAGTTGTCAGATAATTATGTTATAACACACATTGTTGCAAAATAATTTGGAACATTTAGAATTTAGAACGTAACTTACATTCAGTGGTGGGTGAGACCTACTGAGCAATGAATGGAAATTTTCGATATTCTTGATCTTCAGATAATGTCTTTAGTACTTTCTTGGCTTCTCCGTGGATATTTTTACTATCTTCCACGTTAATTGTGCCCGACATTATTAACATTTTGCGTATTTTATAGTCGGAAGTGCGATCTTAACGAAAAATGTATAATTATATATAATATTTGTAAGTATGGCGACCACGCTCAACAGGTGAAAAAATGTCGCGGTCGTTTCGCAAAATGTTTCAAACTTACTCGCTTCATGATATAAAATGGTTGATCTGTTACGCACGTTATTAGCGATAAATAGCATTAGTCCGATTCTCCAGGGAAATTTCTGCTAAGAGATGTACCTTAGCCACGTTAAAAACAAGCACCCCCCGCCCAAAAAAAAGGTTTTTGGAAAAACAGACGAAAAAAGGTGTACCAACCTTTCGCGTTTTTTATTTTGTCATATTTTTATTTTTTGAACTTTCCCAACTTCCCGTTTTTTTTTGTTTTTCTTTTTGTGGCCCATAGCTAGCTAAGTATTGTAAATTGTCGTATACCATTACATTATCAAATTCAAGGAGGATTGTTATAAAGCACAAGGTTTATTGAAAAGAAAGCATGTTATTGTAATGAGAACACGAGGAACACTTGAAAAATCCGCAGATTATCGAAAGTCAGCTCTTTCCTATTTTCCATACAGTTATATCGCCAAATTATATTATGTTGCGTGACGAAATATCACAGTATTGGGAAATTCCCATGCCGAGTGATTCGTGCATTCACTTTACGAAGTGAAATCCGGGGGGGAGGGGGGGTAAGTTGCTCCCATATAAAAAGGTCAGCGGTTCTCCTCGTACCTTTTAGGGGTTAAAAAAGGGTGTTCAGGGGGTATAGCCTCAAAACATCCACAGCGGAAGCTTTCGCGGTACCTTTTAAAAAAATATGACAGAAAAAAAAAATATGACAGTAAATATTTGACACTCAAATGACTTTAATTTTGTCTCATCTTATACACCTTGAGTTCACAATTCATCAATAAAAATTTACACATTCAGTTTGGATAACGAGGCTTTTCACTTAATCGCCTCACATCTTGTTAACTTGGATGTGATATCCATTCCTCCTCAGCAACGTATTGGAAGCAATTGTATTTATTAAAAATTATGAAAGTGTCCGTTTGTGTTGTTTAAGGATTCGTACCTCTTGGGGGGTGAAAAAATTTCAAGCCACGCCCATAAAACAGGATGGGGTTCGTGTTAAAATTTCTGCCGAGCAGCCCCGTTCTTATCTCGTGGAAGCCCCCTCCAGGGGGGTGAGATTCGTCTTGGTGTAAAGTTCAGTTTCTTTTGTCTGGTGTACATATCTTCATAGTCTGATTTCTCTGTTGTCCACAACAATAAGGAAATAGTGAACAATATTATCGATCAAATCGTACAGAAACCTTAACATCTCTACAAAGTGATATTCAAATTACGGTTGTAGAAGCTATCTTGACGGGTAGGCGGCACGCGTCAGAAATTACACTTTTTGTATCGGAATCTTGCTGCAAATAGTTTAAATTAAAAAGGCGACTGAAAGCTTTCTAGCCCAGCTACATCCCTCAAGTTTAGCTGCTGCAATGCCTTGTCTGATGCCGTCACCTTCCTTAAATCGTTCAGGATTCAACTGTTAAGAAAATTAAGAGTGACCCTTAATTTTCAAGTTTGACCCATTTTTCCAAGTGTAACTCTTTTTTCGAAGTGTGAACCATTTTTCTAAGTGTATCACTATGCTTACTGGACTTTTTGAAGATGCTAGATTTAACCTTTTCTCAAATCTACACAAGTGTATTTCAATTGTGGAAGTCTATCGATTTGGACAGTACTTTGGTTAGAGATTCTCGCCCATATCAACTTTCTTTTCTCTAGTAAGTTCTCGCGTGTTTAGAAATGCGCCACACTCGCGGTTTTGGTGTCGGGATCTTAAACTATGTTTACTGGACTTTTTAAAGATGCTAGATTTGGTCCTTTCTCAAATCTACACGTATATTTCACTTGTGGTAGTCTGTCGCTTTGGACAATGCTTGGGTTGGAGTTCTCGCACATTTTTTTTTTCTCTCGCGTGTTTTCGCGCGTTTAGAGATGCGCCACACTCGCGTTTTAAGTGCAGGGATCCCAGCCAATGCTTACCTATCATTTTAAAGATGCTACTTTTAGCCCTCGCCCAAATCTACACACGTGTATTTCACTTGTGGAAGTCTATCGATTTGGACAGTGTTTAGGTTGGAGATTCTCGTCCATATCAACTTTCTTTTCTCTAGTAAGTTCTCGCGGGTTTAGAAATGCGTCACAAACGCGGTTTAGATGTCGGCATCTCAAACTATGCTGACTGGACTTTTTAAAGATGCTAGATTTGGTCCTTTCTCAAATCTACACACGTGTATTTCACTTGTGGAAGTCTGTCGCTTTGGACAATGCTTGGGTTAAAGATTCTCGCCCATTTATATATTTTTTCTCTCGCGTGTTTTCGCGCGTTTAGAGATGCGCTACACTCGCGTTTTAAGTGCAGGAATCCCAGCCAATGCTTACCTAACATTTTAAAGATGCTAATTTTAGCCCTCGCCCAAATCTACACACGTGTATTTCACTTGTGGAAGTCCATCAATTTGGACAGTGTTCAAAGTTAGGTTGGAAATTCTCGCCCATATCAACTCTCTTTTCTCTAGTAAGTTCTCGTGCGTTTAGAGATGCGCCACAGTCGCGATTTTGGTGTCGGGATCTCAAACTATGTTTACTGGACTTTGTAAAGATGTTAGATTTGGTCCATTCTCAAATCTACACACGTGTATTTCACTTGTGGAAGTCTGTCGCTTTCGACAATGCTTGGGTTGAAGATTCTCGTCCATTTAGATTTTTTTTCCCTCGCGTGTTATTCGCGCGTTTAGAGATGCGCCACACTCGCCATTTCGGTGTCGATGTCTCAAACTATGCTTACTGGACTTGTTAACGATGCTAGATTTGGCCCTTTCTCAAATCTACACACGTGTATTTCGCTTGTGGAAGTCTATCGATTTGGACAGTGTTTGCGTTGGAGGTTCTCGCCAATATCAACTTTCTTTTCTCTTGTAAGTTCTCGCGCGTTTAGAGATGTGCCACACTCGCGTTTTAGGTGCGGGGAGCCCAACCAATACTTAGCTAACTTTTTAAAGATGCTACTTTTAGCCCTGTTCCAAATCTTAACACGTGTGTTTCACTTGTGGAAGCCTATTGATTTGGACAGTACTTGGTTTAGAGATTCTCGCTTACATCAACTTTCTTTTCTCTAGTAAGTTCTCGCGCGTTTAGAGATGCGTTACACTCGCGGTTTTGGTATCGGGATCTTAAACTATGTTTACTGGACTTTTAAAGATGCTAAATTTGGCCCTTTCTCAAATCTACACACGTGTATTTCACTTGAGGAAGTCTGTCGCTTTGGACGATGCCTGGGTTAAAGATTCTCGCCCATATCAACTTTCTTTTCTCTCGTAAGTTCTCGCGCGTCTAGCAATGCGGCATACTTGCGTTTTTGGTGTGGGGATCCCAAACTATGCTTACGGTTTTCTTTAAAAATGCTAGTTTTGGACCATCCCCAAATCTACACAAACGTATTTCACTTGTGGAAGTCTATCGATTTGGACAGTGCATAGGTTGAAGATTCTCACTCATATCAACTTTCTTTTCTCTTGTAAGTTCTCGCGCGTTTAGAGATGCGCCACACTCGCGTTTTAGGTTCGGTGATCCCCACCAGTGCTTACCTAACTTTTTAAAGATGCTACTTTTAGCCCTCCCCCAAATCTAGACACGTATATTTCACTTGTGGAAGTCTATCGATTTGGACAGTGCTCAAAGTCGCCGAGAACGGGTTACGCGCAGCGTGATTTTGACCAACGTTGGGTCGATTTCCAGGAACTTGGGCAATATATCTGAGTCCCAGGGACTCTAAACTAATTCGAAAAGACTTTGGTTTTCAGTGAAAGGGAGAGAGGAAAAATCTTTGAACGCTTGGTTATGAGCAGTCCGACCGAAAAATAGCCCCTCTTTAACTCACTTAGTGACTAGGAAGACGCCGAGACCGGGTTACGCGCAGCGTGATTTTGACCGACTTGAGGTCGATTTCCAGGAACTTGGGCGATATTTCCGAGTCCCAGGGACATTAAACTACTTCGAGAAGACTTTGGTTTTCAGTGAAAGAGACAGAGGAAAATTTTTTGAACGCTTGGTTATGAGCAGTCTGGCCGAAATATAGCCACTCAATGACTAGAAGATCGCGGAGACTGGGCTACGCGCAGTATGATTTTGACCAACTTTGGGTCGATTTCCAGAAACTTGGGCGATATTTCCGAGTCCCAGGAACTCTAAACTGATTCGATAAGACTTACTTGATTCTTAGAGAAATGGACAAAGGAAAACTTTTTGAACGTTTGGTTATGAGCAGTCTGGCCGAAATATAGCCACTTAGTGACTAGAAAGTCGCCGAGACCGGGTTACGCAAAGCGTGATTTTAACGAGCTTTGGGTCGATTTCCAGGAACTTGGGCGATATTTCCGAGTCCCAGGGACTCTAAACTAATTCGATAAGACTTTGGTTTTCAGTGAAATGGACAGAGGAAAAATTTTTGAACGCTTGGTTATGAGCCAGTCTGGCCGAAATATAGCCACTTAGTGACTGGAAAGTCGCCGAGACCGGTCTACGCGCAGCGACATTTTCACCAACTTTGGGTCGATTTCCAGGAACTTGGGCGATATTTGCGAGTCCTAAGGACTCTAAACTAATTCGAGAAAACACGCGAATAAAAAAAGATACAAATGGGCGAGAATCTTTAACCCAGGCGTTGTCCAAACCAACAGACTTCCACAAGTGAAATAAACGTGTGTAGATTTGAGAAACGGCCAAAGCTAGCATCTTTACAAAGTCCAGTAAACATAGTTTAAGATCCCGACACCAAAACCACGAGTGTGGGGCATCTCTAAACGCGCGAAAACTTACGAGAGAAAAGAAAGTTGATATAGGCGAGAATCTCTTACCCAAGCACTGTCCAAATCAATAGACTTCCACAAGTGAAATACATGTGTGTAGATTTGAGGGACGGCTGAAAGTAGCATCTTTAAAAAGTTAAATGAGCAATGGCTGGGATTCCCGCGCCTAAGACGCGAGTGTGGCGCATCTCTAAACGCACGAAAACTTACGAGAGAGACGAAAGTTGATATGGGCGAGAATCTCCAACCTAAACACTGTCCAAATCGATAGACTTCCACAAGCGAAATACACGTATGTAGATTTGAGAAAGAGCCAAATCTAGCATCTTCAAAAAGTCCAGTTAAGATAGTTTGAGATCCCGACACCAAAACCGCGATTGGGGCGCATCTCTAAACGCGCGAGAACTTACTAGACAAAAGAAAGTTGATATGGGCGAGAGTCTCTCACCAAAGCACTGTCCAAATCGATAGACTTCCACAAGTGAAATACACCTATGTAGATTTGGGGGACGGCTAAAAGAATCATCTTTAAAAAGTTAGGTGAGCATTGGTTGGGATTCCCGCGCCTAAAACGCGAGTATGGCGCATCTCTAAACGCGCGAGAACTTACGAGAGAAAAGAAAGTTGATATAGGCGAGAATCTCCAACCTAAGCACTGTCCAAATCAATAGACTTCCACAAGTGAAATACACGTGTGTAGATTTGGGGGAGGGCCAAATCTAGCATTTTTAAAGAGCACCGTAAGCATTCTTTGGGATCGCCACACCAAAAACGCGAGTGTGGCACATCTCTAAACGCGGGAGAACTTACGAGAGAAAAGGAATTTGATATGGGCGAGAATCTGTTACCCAAGCACTGTCCAAATCGAAAGATTCCCACAAGTAAAAAATACACATGTATAAATTTAAGAGAGGACCAAAACTAGCATCTTTAGAAAGCTCAGTGATAGTTTAAGATCCCGACACCAAAATTTCGAGTGTGCCGCAGAGCTAAACGCGCGAGAAAAGACAAGGGAAAAGTAAATTGACATCGTTAAAAATATCCTCCCAAGCGCTGTTCAAATCGATATACTTCCACAAGTGAAATGCACGTTGGAGATTTGGCTAAAACTAGCATCTTTAAATAGGTAAGCAAAGTTTGGGATCCCCACATCTAAAACGCGAGTGTGCCCCCACGCTTAA